GTTTTAAAACATTATCAGAAATAAACTATAAAAAAGAACAGAGGATTATAAATTAACTTTATTGGATTGTCATTATAATTATATTATGTACAGATTGATAGAATAAGAAATTATTAATATAAATCAACAAAATCGTTTACGTCATTTTTTTTTTATTTTTTTTTTTTTTTTTAGATATTTTTTTTTTTTTTGTTTTAAGTCAGTGGTCTTAATTGCATTTTCCGTACACATAAGTGAAAGCCAGTTCAAACGTTTTTGTCCCGTTGTATTGCGAAGCTGATTCTTACCTTATTTTTATTTATTCAAATCTGGGATAAGTAAAACTTGTGGATGAGAGTTATTTCCCTTTAAAAATTGTAATTTGTCCAACTTTGATTCGCATTTATAATACAGTAAAACCTCCGTTTTGCGACCCTTCTCAAACCACTTACTCCACTATACGACCGGAAAAAAAATTCACCGATGCTTTGTACTGCATAAACGAGCTCTCTTAAACGATTTCCTCTAAACGCGACTTGCAACTTAAATAATTCAATTTTACAACCTAGCACCTGAAAAAGTCAGATTCGAAAGCAATGCTATATTTGTGCGCTTGAAGAAAACAGTTTCGTTTACAACTATTAACTGCTTACGTTGCACTAAAGCAGTTAGGAAGTACCGTAGTGAAATAACAGCTTTCTATAAAAAAAACATTTAAAAACTATTCAATGATTGAAAAAAAATAATTACAACATTAAACTGCTTGTCTTATACATAAATAGTTATAACTCTAAGCATGCAATCAGCACTTACACACGCTTTAAAACTAAAACAACTACCACACCAGTACCAGTACTGATTTTTTATTTTGGAATTAATGAGGAACAGGAAGATAGTGACTGTATTGGTTGTGAGACAGAGTTTAATTTATATTTCTGAACGAAAGATGGTAGATATTACCTACATGTAATGGTACGTGTATTTTTTAAACTTGTTTACTTAATTTTATAATTGTCGTTTTTCGAAAATATCCTACCTCTTTTTTTAAGACCCTTCCAAATTACGAACTCGTTTTAATGTCAATTTGAAGGTCGTAAAACGGAGGTTTTTTGGAATGTGCTGATATATATCGTCGGTTAAAAATGGGAAAATGGTAATTTTAAATCCAATTAAATAGCAAAAATCTGTCAATATTCATTAAAAATATGTAAAGCATGATGTCTCTATAAGAGTGAGTCTCCTAGAAACGTGGGGCCCCCCACAAGCGTGGGGGCCTGGGCCAGTGCCCACTGAGCCCATGCCTTAAGACGGCACTGATGGCAAGAGATAAAAAGTAATTCGTTCACAGGGAAGCCGTTTTGTCATTTTGTGGATTGAAGATATTCACATTGAAGACAAATATGTTCAAAAAAATTAAATCCAATGCCAGCTGAAGGGAATAGTTCCTAAAGTCTTTCCAAATGTGGATGCAGGGATAGTTTGGTCAAAACTCAAACCACATGGCAGGGATAAAGGGGCATAAGTCATTTCATGAAGGCAATTAATTGTTACCACATGCATTTATTCCAAGAAATAGCATCAGATCTAAAAATAAATTTATTTAAACTGGCTTGAATAGATGCCTATTGGGGGGGGGGGGGGGATTTTTTGTGGTAAAAGGGG